TGGGGAATTCTGGGAGTTGAAGTCCACGCATCTTAAAGTTGCCAAGATTGAGAAACACTGCCCTAATGGAAAGGTAAGAATTGACTTCTCAGGTGACACTCAAGATGCTCTGGAAGTAGAGGAATCTTGGAGTAATTCAAGAGTTTGTTAGATTTGTCTTCCATCTTTCTTCCAAGGGGGTGTATGGAACACTCCCTCCTGTCTCCCCACTCCTATTCCAACACTCTCCCCACAACATCCTCTAACTGACAACACAAGATGGCTTTGATTTGACACTGGGCCAAGACTTGTCCTCCTGTTGTGCTCCAACACATTTTGGGGACGATTCAGAATTTTTCTAAAATTTCTTTCAGCTGATTTGATCATTGGGGATCAAGACAGCTAATGGAGTCATTCATTATATTTTGCATTTTGCCACCTCGGCTGGCCAGGCAGCCCAGTTTGAAACCCCCCCAAGGGGGGATTTCCCTCATGATATCTTTCGATAGGATTTACTAGAAACCATGGGAAGGCAAGGAAAATGATTGTAAAAGAAAGGGAAGATGCTTGCAAATACCCCTCAGGCATCTCTATCTGGAGAACTGAACCCAAATGATCTTCTCCATTGAACGAAAGAAAGCAAAAACATGGCGGGAGAATGTTAAAAAAAAAAAAGAACCAAAATGTTTGGTATACTATTACCCGGATTACAGAACAAGAAATGTGCATCATGTTTTTGGAGGAATATTCCAAGTCCATCCAAAGAGCTACTTCTAAGCTGCAAACTCAGACCTAGAGAACAATGTTGGAGGCTCATTTGTACTAATATGAATTCAATCTTTACAAACCATATTCACCAGAAAGGGCACTGCCTGGATCCTTTCTTCATTAGCAGGGGTGTCCGCACAGTATGGTAAAAAACATTGGAACGGTGGCCACAATGGAGCTTCCATTGCACTGCTGTGGCCACCATTCTTGACTTTTCAACCACACCCTGTGGACACCCCTATCCCTAAGCCAACCAAAGTGGGTAGATTTTTCATGGTTGCTCAGACTAACAGTCTCATGTATGTTTTTCAACCCTCCCACCAACTTCTACCGGAATGTTCTTGCGTTGTTGAGATTTTGATGGATTTTGATGGATCCAACGATTGTGATGTCCTTTTCTTTATTTGGGTTTCTTTCCTCAATGCTCCTCCTGTTCCTTCTGAATGTGAGCCAATGTTTAGGAAAGATCAAAGAAAATCATGTGATTTGAACACCACGCATTAACTGTTTTTTGAAGAGACACCTTCCCCCTCGCTGGCAAATCAGCTGCGTGCATTTGAATCCGACTCGCTGAAACTCCAGTCTCCAAACTCCATTTTAAACCCAGAGTTTAATTTTCAGGAGGCGCAGGTTCTCGGGCATCGGAGCACAGCAATGGAAATGCCTCTGAGCATAAGCAAAATGCATTATCCTCACTGCTGAGTAAGCCTGTTCACTTGCATACATCAGGGGAAGGGGAGAAGGAGGGCAGCCTACAAAGTGAGATGTTAGCTAGACAGTGATGGTACTACTCGTATGCAAGTGGCCCGTGTGCCAAACCAGTGACAGGATACTCACTCCTTTTTTCTAACCAACAAAAAAATGTAACCAACTTCAAGATATTGGATAGTTGACATATTATAAATTAGATGGTGGGTATTAAATTCTCACCATGCTGGTCAGGGGTGGGAAACGATAGTCTTTCCAATGTTTCTCACCTTCCGTGTTCCAGCATGGCTGAGTGAGGAAGAACTAATGGCCCTAGGCTTCCCACTGGGATCTTCCCACTGGGATCCAGTACAATGTAGGGCTGTACTAACTCCACCCCAAGTCTGTCAACCTGAAGAACTCCTGCTTGCATTCCAGAGCTCCATTCCTTCTCTCTTGGGTGTTCCTCAACACCGCAATGGAGGAAATAGGATTTCTTGGGTTGGATTTCTTTTTCCCCTTCTTGAAGAGCTCAGCAGTGATCAAGAAGGTTCACTGGGGATTTGGGTCATTGGAGGGGGCAGGACTAGGTAACAAATCAGAGCACAGAACTTGTCTGGGTTCTGATTTGTTATCTACCCCAGCATTCTTAACCGTCTCTTTCCTACTCCAATAATCTGGCTCCAGAAATCTGTATAATCCAAGAATCAAGTTCAGAATAAAGCAACACTTGGTAATGATCTCACATGATGTCTTCCTCTTAATTTACATCACTTGTTGGTGGCAAATATTTTTTTTCATGGTGGCAAATATTTTTAGCACAGGATTGTGTAGCGTTCACTCACTGATAACAAGGCACTGCTCTACCCACCAGAGGTGGATAATTCTCATAATCAATAAATTGGCCAGCTTCTCTTGCAGGACCCATTGATCTACCCCAGGACTTACATATGTAACTTATCCTGCTCATCATCATGGCTGTCTGTCCATCTTTAGATAGCTAACTTGTAAAACTCAATTGTAAAAAGGGTGTCACTTATTAGGTCAGACAGGAGCTCTTTGAGATTTCCAACCAAGGCTATGACATACTGCTCTCAACTCATTGGAAACATGGGTGTGTGTGTGTCAAATGGAGAATGGTGCCTTCTGTATGCAAAGCATGGGCTCTACCAATGGGGTATGACTACCTTGGTTAGTCTACCTGTCTCACTCATGGAGTGCACCCACCTATGTCAGCCAACCACGTATAAGATGGAAACAAACAAACTGAATCCAGAAGAACCTGAATGTCCCCTATTAGCATTAAATATCTGTTTCTTTAAGCCCACAAGACTCAGAGTCTGTTAAATCATCATACATTTGATAGTCAATGCATTCCAAGAATTCATTGGGGATCCCAATGGAGACTGACTCCACCTCTGTTTTGAAGGAGGCTGCCATGCCACCTTTGAGGGAGCTACCACGCATCTTGTGGGAGAGGCTATTCATTTTCTCTTTTAGCTGTGTGGTTGGTTTTTGGAATGGAGAAAATATCCTCCATCTCTTGAAGTTCAGAGTTCTTCTTTTACTTGATCTTTCCAAGCTGCTGGAGTTCAATATGAAGGAGCCGTTGAGAGTTGAGATCCTGGAACGTGGTTCCCTCTCAGAGTCTTGGCTAGAGCCATTGATTGAGGCACCTCGCCAGTGGTTGTCATACACCCTCCAGATAGGCCTTCTCCGACGGCACTGACACTTCAGCAGACGGATGAAAGCTCTTTTGAACTCTTTGCTGGAGCAGGGGTAGATTATCGGGTTCACACAGCTATTGAAGTAGCCGAGCCAGAAGATGATCTTGAAGGCCATGCCTGTGGGCTTCAGTGAAGGAAAGAAGGAACCTGACAAAAAGATGGAATAAGATACAATAATGTTAAAGGGCCTTGCAGGGACAAAGAAGGAGCCACCATACCTTTCATGAACTGTGGCTGGGGGTGAGTACTGATCCTTACAAAGCCAAAACAGCAGGTTCTGGAGAACTTGAAGGTTTGCCAAATGATGCAAAGTCTTTAGAGAAGAGCCAACAGTTTTCATCTCTCCTCCCACCTACTGGTGGGAAAACAACCATTAATCACTTTCTCTAATGGAGCTGGAGGGGTTGGGTTAATATGGGTGGTTGCTTGGAACCCCAGGTATGGTCATCTGTCATACTGCCGTACTAACAAGTCACAGGCATGGAGGGGTGTGTTTGGAATGGAGGGAGTAACTCTATTGCTCCTGCTTGGTGCAACACCTTTTCTGTGCCTATGATCTGTCATTGGGCTATTTCTGAACACGAGTCTACTGTTTTCATGAAAGACTGCTAACCCATCCCCCAAAATGGCCCAGCCAATGATCACAGGGATGGAGGAGGGCCACAGGGTGCTTCACTGGCATAGGAGATGGGGACAAAGGACAGGTGTGAAACTTAGATATTGGTAATGGAGCTTCTCTTGAGCCCAGATTCTCCTTGTCTAATGTACAATCTGACTTTTGAGTCCTTTAGATGTTGGCACCATGGTGGTCTCATTAGGTTCCTATCTTATCTGATGTTCCTTAGTGGAACCCAAATATAGCAATTTATAATCACAGAATCCATGTTGACTTCATTATTCACCCTATAGGAAGCCCTCTCAGACTTTACTCAAGAAGTAGTGCTATGGAAGGAGATCAGGAGGACATAGCTTCCATCAGCTGTAATGATGGAAGCTCTTGTGTACAACTTCAGTGTTCTGCCAGGAGCTTCTGAGAACCTGATTGTGCTAGTCTGGATCACTTCGGGAGTAAAGGGTTCATCCCACCCTGAATTGAGATTCACAAACATGGACCACAGTGGTATTTGGATTGTCCAAAATGGTCTGAAAAGTGGTGCAAACTTTCAGGGTATCTTGAATTTATCCATTAGGAAAGATGTTACCAAAACATATATTTTGAGACCCCATGGGAAGATTGGTCTCAAGAAAGGATGGTCTGAGCTGATTTTCAGAAAGAGGAAATAGAAAAACTATAAATGATCCAGGACAAAGCTTCTGACTGTGGCCTGACATTTGTGAATGAAAGGGATTTTTTACTTTGCACATCCTACCCCCTCCATTAATTCCAGATTTCTACCTAAAATGTTCCAAAGTGTAATGCTGCTCTCTTCCAGCAGGGGGCTCCCTTGCCCTTTTCCAGACTGGTGGGCTAATGCCCGGGGAGGTCTAAGAATAACTTTCTGAGTCAGCCTCAATGCCTTTTAATTTTAGATGAATCAGGACTCTGCGTGACTGTATTGTTAATTCGTATTATGGGTAAATAGCAGGCACTTCCAAGGCATTGGTGCTAAATCCTAGTGTCAAAGCAGCTTGAAAGGGATTGTTTGGCATTAGAAGCACGAAAGTATCAAAATCTCGAAAGCAAGAAGGTAAAACACATGCACATCATATCCTTCAACAAGAAGCATTTGAAAGCTGTTCACTGGCAACTTTTTCATTGCTTGGAGGGTCCCAAATCAGCACAGCTTGTTAGGTATGACCCTCCTTTTCAAACCTTCAAGATTCCAAGCTGCATGCAGGTAGTCCTCAACTTACGACCATTTGTTTAATGACCATCCAAAGTTACAATGGTGCTGAAAAAGGTGACTTATGACCAGCCCTTGCACTTACGACCATCGCAGCGTCCCTGTGGTCATGTGATCAAAATTCGGTAAATTTGGCAACTGGCATGTATTTATGACGGCTGCAGTGTCCCAGGGTCATGCGATCGCCATTTGCAACCTTCCTGGAGAGCTTCTGATGAGCAAAGTCAATGAAGGAAGCTGGATTTGCTTAATGACTGCGGCAAAAAAGGTCGTAAAATTGGGCGCAACTCACTTAACAACTGCATTGCTTACCGATGGACGTTCCAGTCCCAATTGTGGTTGTAAGTTGAGGACTACCTGTATTCACTGGGAAGGTAGACCTTCCAAATAGGGACCGCTGCTTTCTGCTATGGCTCATTGACTGGAGCAGCTGCAGACTACATGGAGAAACCAGACTGCTTCTTCAGTGGAATGCCCTGCAGAAGTATTGGACTACAATGCCCATCTACCCCAGCTGGCTGATAGTTGAAGTCTAACACATCTGGTGGGCACCGTATTGGAGGAGGATGAAATTAGAAGTTGATTATGTGCCATCAAATCACTTTTGACTCCTAGCAAACACGCAGATAGATTTTCTCCACGAGAAACTAGAGGTACCAGCCCCTGAATCCCTAGTTAACTGCAGGTTTGAGGGGAGTTGGGCAGGTGTGAACCTTCTGTCCATTAAAAAAGGAAACTGCCCACTCCAGAAAGGAAACATCTTTGACGCCTCCTCCGTTCCATGCTAGAATATAGTTTTGTATTGCACGCATAATCCAATTTGCAACATTGATGTGGAATCCTCATGCACGCTAGACGCTTTTCCTGGAAGATGGATCTGCACATTAGCGTGTGTGAATTTATATTTACTTATGCCTGATGGACTGTTGGTGCACTTGGGTAGCTGCTGGTGGGTCAAAACTTTGGAACATCTGAAGTGATTCAGACTTACAGTCCATTGTGCTATTATAACTGAAAACACCTCTCTGGAATCAAACAGAGGTTTTATTTCCAGCCCAAGACGGAGACTGTGAAGGATTTAACATTAGGAAGTTTCTTGCAAGCAGGACCTGAATGACAAGGGAACGGTCTCCCTTGGAAGTGAAAGACATTCCAAGCACCTCTCTTTTGCTACAGCTGAATCAAAGGTAGATGGCCACCTTTCAGGGATGCTGACAGTGGTGTGGTCAAAAAAGTCAAGATGTCAGGCACAATGTTGTGACTGAAGGTGCGCCTGTTTTTGATTGCATTGCATGTGCACATAAAAAACAGGCAGAGCTTCCATCACATTGCTCTAGCTGTCATCTTGTGTTTTTAACTAGACCCTGGATGCTGGACTATCAGGTTTCCTACATCCAAAAGGGTTGGACTAAATAGGTGGAAGGAGTTTCCACCTCCATAAGTTTGTGAAGTCGGGCTCTTTTGCTTGGGAAGGACATTCTCTACCACCAAGCCACCTGTCCTTATTGCCTTCTGTGAGGTTCTCCAGGGTCGAAGGACCATTTCTTACCCAGTTATTATAGGGATGGACTACTTTGCAGGGAATTTCATTGGTTGAGTCACTGAAAGTCTGCTGTAGCTCTGCACGAATGAATGGACTAGACCAGCCTTCCAGAACCTGGTGCCCTGGAGTCTCGATGGAACTACAGCTCCCTTCACCCTAGCTGACAACAATGGGAACTGTAACCCAAGCTCATCTCATCCCATCAGGAAATGAGTCTTGCTCTGACTCAAGCCCTGCAAATGCCAAAATGTAGTTGAATTTTATATCTCCTCACTGGGCTGTCTCTTACAGCCTGCAAGGAAATTTTTTTTTTTTTTGCTCTAATCTCTTTTACTCCTTGTAGGAACAGAAACGTTCCTTCCCTCCTTATGACCCCATCCAATCAAAGCTAACTCTGAGCAGCATAGCCCAAACTGTAAACAGAATAAATAAAAAAAAAAGCATGCAATACACATTACAGCAGCCACAATTCATTAAAAAAAATTAACTGTACCAAATAGCCGGTGAATCTAATCCAGTTCAACAACTTTCCCACAAAAAACCCAACTACTGTTGCTGGAGGGCGCAGATCCTATCATTCTAGTGCCCAAGTCCTCTTTTGATGGCCTTCTTAAAAACAAGGAGGGATGGGGCCATTTGGATATCTGGAGAAATGCTGCCCCATAGAAGGTGGGCGGCAGTGATAGAGACTCCTTGGTTCCTGAAGTTGGTAATTACCAAGTGATTCCTACTGGATCTTCATGGGCAGGCTACTACTATTATTCCAACAGATCCAACTGCTAGTGACAGACTATCCCTTCCTTTTTTATTCAGGGTAAAACTCATAAGGGCACATCAGCTATCAGACAGTTTTAGAGTTACCAGCCGCATGTCCCTCACAGTGCAAGAGAAATGCCCCCTCCTTTTCAAACACTCAAACACACTGACACGCCTGATGTTAAATTTGGAATTCGGGGCCGGAATGCCGCCAAAATCTGAGAGGTCTGTGGTACAATCAGCACGATGCAAGTATTTTTGGAAGGATGTTTGTTATGGCTTGAATTCACATGCTGAAACGGCCAGGATGAGTCTCAGGGCAGGTTGCAACCCTGTTTTTATTGCACCTTCCTAAAAGCAAGGGTTTTTCCAAGTATTTGTCCTTTCCTACCCCCCAAAAATCATGGAAAGGGCAGTGAAAATTAGACTTTTTCTAAACGTTAGGTGGCGAGAAAGATGGAAATGAAGCAAGTTGGACTTAAACCCAGGTCCCCCAAATCCTGGCTATCCCTTTAACAACTGGACTGCACTGCCACTCAAATGTCTGCAAACTGGGACAGAAGTTTGCTGGATTAGAAGTCTGTTACCAAAAGCAGGCAATTAAATGACTTGGCGGCCATCAAATGTTGGCTTCCAAATTCCTACCCACCCCTTGTTATTTTCTAACAGCTGCCAGGCTTTTTCCCCTGGCCAGGGGCCCAACCCTTGTCCTGGCTCTTTCAGACTTCTAATCTGCTTGTACAATGGCATCATTCCAGGAGAGGGATTTTGAGACGGTGGCTCAGAACTGCCCCATTGCTGCTACTATGTCAGTCCAGAAGTTCTCCCAAGTTCAATCCAGCAATGAAGTCAATGAGTTCCATATGTTTGCTTGCCTCCCTGATGCTAGAGGGACTTGAAGATATGTCCTCTGAGGTCAGGCTGAAGGAACGGGAGAGGTTCAATCAGCAGGAAAGAAGACTTACTGAAGACATGATAGCTGCGTTCTGCTACAGAACGGGAAG